TTTATATTTTAAAATGAGATGTTTATCATCTATTTGATTATGTTTATCCGCAGTTAGTTACACGAATTCAAACATGAAGTTTTAATAAGTTGTACTTATGCATAATTTACTTGTAATCTTAAATTTTAAGTAATATGCATCAATATACAGTACTTTATGCATAAAAAATAATTTTTAAGAATTTTTTTCAAATACTTTATAATATAATATAGATATGATATTAAATTAAGATAAAACATAATATAATACCCATATTCACATGTTGTTAGTAATTGTAATTAATAATAAAACTAAGCTAAGTGACTATGAATGATATTGAAATCTATGGGACATGAGGTGATGATGCCATCCACTCACTGGATCGTGAAGCTGGTCTCACTTTCGGTGTAGCAGGTAGGCCACTCCTGATTTCACTGCTGTGTCTCTCCACTCTCACTTATATAATTAATTTCCTTTTTTAAATAAATTAACATTATTTTGTTCATTTTAAACTTAATTTAATTATTCTTTTATTACAAAAGTAGTAAGTACCAACGTCTTCACAACTAAATTCATCATACAAGACCAAAAATTTGTATTAACTTTTACTTTAAAGATTATTTAAACTCACATTAATTATTAATTAATTACTCAACAAAAAAGTATACTGGTTAGAAGTTTCCAAATTGTATGAAGAATTCTAGCTTAAATTCTCAAACCCTAATTAGTTTATCCCATAACTTTTTTTATTAAACTGGATATCTAACCTGCTATGCGACCCGACTAATTTCAGGACGATCACCTGCTTTGCAGATAGCCTGAAATCACTGCATTTGAATCTCCGTGGCCACAAGAGGATTTTTATTCCTTCTTGGATTTGAACATGTGACATTCTGGTACCTTTGACCTTTGGGGTCAAGTTCAAACCAATTAGGCACAATCCTTGTGGTTTAATAATACAATTTAAATAATTAATTGAATTTAATACGAAATAACCAAAAATTAGAGAAAATTTCTTTGATTATGTACATTTGTGCACTCATGTCCTACATACTACCCTCTATATCTGGTTTTGAACGAAATCTTTTTTGTGTTTATTCAAATCTGATTATTTATCAAGCCATACACCATGACGATTGCCATGATTAACGAATGGTCGATGTTCGGTTGCACCGTTAATGTGAATACATCGTTTCCAAAGTTAATCCCCGTTGTCGTTTGCTTTTGTTTAATTTCCGCGATCACTGCACCTTCTTGATCTTCATCTACAATCTTGAACTCCGATTTCCCATCCATTCTAACAATCCTGTATGCACACCCTCTTGCTTTATGATCACATGAATTCACACAAACGCTTCGATGCTTCCTTACACGAAACCACAGTTCTTTTTCCGAACTGCAATCATCCCATTTGTATCCATCACAACATCCAAATAATCGAAACTTAGTCTGCAACCAAAAAGCAACCATTACAAATATTGTCTTATGATATAAAAATTAAGACGATCGGTATATATGTATGAATTTGTACCTTTTGTTGTATGGAAAAGAGAACTTTGCCTCGAATATCCATCAAGTAAACCTCTTGGCCACATTTATTGTCGTAGTTATCGACTCTATAAACGATATCGCCTTTTGAATCGTAGACGGTGCATCCATGAGTGTTGAAAACCAAAGATTTCATCCAGATTGTGAAAGATTCAGGCTTTAAGCTTATGTAAGGAGAAGGAGAAGAGGAAGATGTTTGAGGGTAAACCCTAGCCATTGATCTAAGAAGCAAAGAATTCAAAGCAAGTTTTGTTAAAGATAGAGAATCTTGTGTATATATAGACATTATTTTGAAGAAACAAGACAAGACTAGTCATTATATATATATATATATATATATATATATATATATATATAGGTCTGCATCTAGGAAAAGAATTCAAGTTGAGATAGATGTGGCCCTTGTGTATATCTAGAAACCTCCCAATATATTAAATAAATAAGAGTATGATACAAAAGCATCCATGTGATTTAGTGGAACTTTGATTTGATGGTTAATTACTGTTTTGATCCCTTGTCCTAACGTCTGTTAAAAGGTGTCGTTAATATGAGAGACACTGTTGTTTTCTTATCTCGTCTTTTATTTAAAAAACCGGTGTATCATTAAGACTTTAAAACTATATACATGTACTTAAAGACATTTAAGAAAACTAAATCCTAATTAAACCCTCTCACCCACCCCTCAATAATATACATTCTCAAACTTTGAAAATGCTATTGTGTTTAACAGTTGCTGATAACGATAGTCAGGAGTAGAGATGATGTTTGTAATGCAGTGCAAACGACTAAATTACTATTGTAATTATTTAAGTCGAGGGATGAAAACCAGAGTTTCTTCGTAACAGATGGACAATTTTTTTTTGGTAATCTACTCAAATAAATAATTTTTTATATATAATTTTTTTATAACACTAGATAACAAGAATTGTATTTAAACGATTTAGATAATTCCAAATATATTGTAACTGCTCTAGCAATCCGCGTTAAATTGTAACATTTAGTGTTATGCACACAATCCAATATCTCATTACAATAAAATAAGGTTTCTAGACGTTTAGTACAACGGTTAGCAGAAGGCCAGTCTTGTTTTGCCCGTTAATAAAAAGGATTTGGACTATTATTCTTGAAGAAATTGGTGAGCTTAGACTGACTTGTTAAAATTAATTGATGGATATAAGCGATGCAAAAATTATTTTAGGCAGCCACGCCCGGCCAGTTAATATTTTTATATAATTAACTTTTATAATTAAATTTACTAATAAAATTAAACATTCTTTATACATATCAATTCCAGCAGAATTATGACTCATGATGATAACATTTTTTTTTTAAATCTAAAAAGCAAAAACATAATTACCTAAATTGATCAATTTATTATTATCCCATTTGATCATTTACTTTTTCTATAATCCATATTTTGTAAAATAATTTTTTTTCTAAATTAGGTACATTGTTATGTATTTAGATCTAACTTTAAGATAGAAAAATTGTTACATAACTTGTGGTTTTATATAAGTGTTATTTTCTTAAAAATAAAATAAAATTAGGTTTTGTTAGTCTATGGGCAAGCCCGATTTGTTTATAGAGCGGGTATGGGCAAGTTTTCATGCATGTAAAAAAGAGCTTGAGTTTGTTATATTAGACCGTTGGATAAGAATAATAGGTCATGTCTGGCATGGATATGTCCCAAGCCTGCAAATGATCATCTAAATGTCTAATTGTCCTTGAACGATCTGATCAAGTATTTAATATGGTTTACTAACCAACAATTTTGAGTCATATAAAATGATGTTGCAATAAGTTGTTGTTTTACGAAGTTAAACAACCTAACAAATAATTGAAATTTTCAACAGGACACATGAACAATATCATCTCATTAGCTTTTTATTGACATGAAAAATATCATATTAACCTTTTTATATAACATTTTTCAAAACTACCATAAAAAACTAATAAGAGGATTTATTTCCTATATATCTTATTATATTATTTAGATTCTCTATAATGCTTGTTAAATAGTGTAAGTTTGTCCTAATAACTTAAAGGGTCTCCAAACAAAATGAAGAAAATTAGGGTTTTGAAGTTTTCTTGCTCTTAACAATATTTTCAAAACTTTTTTCAAAATGAGGAAATCTGAAAATTTAGCTGAAAAGCTAATTGTTAGTTGAAAAGCCAGTTGATAAGATAATCACATGATGAATATAAAATGATCAAAAATATATATAAAAAAAGTAATCAATTTTAACATTATATGATATAATAATTAAAACAAATCACTAGTATATTTTATAATATTAAATAAAGTGTAATGAATATAAAGATTTATCTAATTATTTAGGTGTAATAGACATTTTTCTTGCATTTCATATTATATTTGCAATATTTTTACAAATTTCTTATATCTCATGGCACGATAATCGCATACCAGGAAATGTATTATTTTTTTTTTGTAAAATCATCTATTAGTACAATCATATATAAATTTTAGGGAAATAATTCACATAAACTGGTGATTCTGAAATAACCGTTACTCATAATACAAATAAAACAGTGTCAACCATAGATGTTTTGTGAAAAATTACTAACCACCTATAATAATTTTCAAATAAAACAGACGACGAAACATACTATACATCCCACTCGTAGCATTTACACGATCCTTATAAAAAATAATAGTTTTGATTTTTGTAAAATAATAACAAATTTAGTTTGTAACCATGGACTTGTATCAATTGGTATTTATTTATAACACACACATTCATATTGAATATAGGCTTTTGAGCACCAAGGTTATATCAATTTCTTAATTACTACACTACTATATATATATGGTTCAATATTAATTAATTAAGAGTCAAATTCCAACGATTATTGCAGCCTGTTTTCACATTAACTACTAAATTCTATTGATTAGTTAATTAATGGTTATGTCATCATCAAATCTCTTTAATTAACCATTAATTAGGTAGCTTTCATTCTTCTCTTTATGTATTAAATGTTCAATGTTGTCACATGTACCCCAAGATTGACCATCTTGTTATAACTTACCAGTCGTTATTTAACTTTGGTTCAAAGGTGGAATCGAAAGGGATATTTTCTTGTTGGCTGCATAATTTTCAATGCTTGAATGGTTCGGCTGCATCTGGTAAAAGTTGACTTTTAAACAAGTAATTAATAAAATATTGAAAGAAATACTATGTTTATTAATATATTCATATAAAGTCTTTAAAAATATATCGAATCTTTATATTTTGTAAGAGATCGTCTAGATATATCTGAATAAGTTATTCACCTCTTTACAACACCTAACTGTGTCGTTGTTGCATCCATAAAGCCATTTTATGATATCGTTCTAGTAACAATAAGGTGTCACGCCAAAAATAAATTGATACATATTCATGACACGAAGTGCGTCCAGTCGAAGTCGTTATCACGTGCTTGTGTTGAGTTGATCGTATAGAAAATAAATGGTTTTTACGTTTTATTTTGATGTAATTTATCGATTATTTTGTGGGTATTAAACAAAACAAAATGATGTTAAATGTTGTTTAATTGTTTGCCTGCTTAGTGGCTTCAATAACGTCCCTATGGACATAAAAGTTGTTTGTAAGGTGTATGATTATGTCTTTCTATCAAAGGCCCGCCATTAATGAATGTCTAACTCAAACAAAACATATACTATCTATATAACAAATGTCTAATTAATGCATTTTATGTGTGATTTATTTAAGACATGATCATAAAAAAGTAAATGTTATATATAGATAGTATTAGCATAGGGTTCAAATAAGAATGATAAAAAGGTTAAGAACGTAAAAGTATTAAAAAAAACCCAGATAAAAAGGTATGTAATATAGATGTCAAATTGAAAAGAATAAAATGCTCATTTTTTTTGGTAGTTTGCCTCCGATTAGAATCATATTTGGTATATTTTCGATTTAAAAATGTAGGGATAATCTTTTAAGTTGGTTCCATTGGATGCTCCTATATTCGACAAAGATCCGACGAGTGTACAATTTTGCTTTAGATACTTCGGTATAGAATAGATCAGCCCAGTTTTCGTTTTAAAAATGATTTAATCATATCACTGGATCAAATCATCTTATGGTTGAGATCCATTATTACATTTCAACCTTTTTATTTGAACCACTCTATAGTATAATATGCATGCATACATACATACATAGGAGAAATCAAATGCAAACCACTCATATTTGTACAAACCGTGTAAACTATCTTTATCCGTCAATTTTATTGTTTAATTTACTGATTTTGTTTCATGAAATTGTTTAATATTATGAAATTGTTTCATATAATACTTTTCYAGATGAAATTGTTTCATATATGGTTATGAAATTGTTTCAAATAATACTTGTGAAATTTTAATGAAATTGTTTCATGTATTTCTTTAAAATTAATATAATGAAGATGATAATATCCATGATTAATACTCTCCACGATAAAAATGATTAATCAACATCTCATAATTATAAAAAAAACGAAAAATTATGATTAGTTGAATGAGGTTTGTACGATTTGTACAAATAAATTACTGGACTCAAAGAACCAATTATTCATCATGAATATCTTAAAAATATGATGTGTTTTCGTTATTTATAACTTAATGTATTTTTATCATTGATATTGTGTATTTTCATTATGAATAATTTTTGTCATAAATATTTATCCCAACATTCATCATGAATAATTTTCATTATTCACGGTTATTCATTATAAATAGTAGGTTCTTGAGTTCTAAATAAATTTGAAGTTCTCATGTAGAGAGAAGGGGAAGGGCGGGAGCGGGAGAGGAGAATCAAACGAATATCGTGCGAAATGATACAAACCTGTGAAGGCCAATTCTAACCAATCAATTTGTTTCATTTTAATACATGATTCATTTTGGTTCACTTGTTTTGTTATTATGCATGAATTTGGGTGTGTTTCATATATATAAAACGTTGTTTTTCATATGTGAAATAGTCTTGTATGTTTCATATATAAAGCATACAAAATAGCAATTAATAAAACATGTGAAACTATAACAACTCGTCTCATATGCAGGGATGGATCCATAATTTTTTTTAAACAGTGGCACCATTTGATCATAAGAAAAAAAATATAAGAATTTTTTTTTCAAACGATGACACCGTTTGACTATAAGAAACAAATATATAAAAAAAAATCAAACGGTGGCACCGTTTGACTAAGAAAATGACACTAACATGATTTGGACTTGGGTG